TTTAAGAATTCATCAATTTTATTAATCAAACAATTGATTTTGGTCCTTTGTTCAATTGCTTTCAGTTTTCCAGATGTGACTGTTTCTTCAAGAAATTTGACGTAATCATCAAGCATCTAATTGGAAGTAACGACCGAGTGTGACATATCTATCCCAAAAACAAGTTGTAAGTGTGCACTGCAACAAACAGTTTTCGAGAAGCTGGATTGATTCAAAACTCCCTACACATGGGATCAGAAGTTATTTAGCAAGGTCGATTTTTTTGAATTAAAATCAATTTGCTGAGAAAGTCGAAATATTAGTCGAGAGAGTCGAAACAGATGACGAGAAAGTCAAAATATACCCAATTTAAGTCAAAATATACCCAAGGTTAAGAGTCATAAAGTTGTATGACCGTAGAGCCCTCAAATCTTAAACTTGCAATTCCGACTGTTTGGTATTCGAACCAATACCCGTGAGCACACTCACAGGGGTTACCGATAAGGAAAATTTTTTAAAAGTTTGTTCAACGAAAAAAAGATATCAATGCATCTCTGTTTTGTTATCAAATGAGCAAAACTTTTCTAAAAACGATTTCATAGCACTACATTCATATCACAATGGAGTTATAAATCAATTTTGTTTGTTCCTCTGGTTGGGATAAGCCACTATCTTGCTTAATTTTTCTGCTAGTGAAGAGTGTAATAGTCTCTTATTTTTTTTTAAACCAGCGAGTTGTCTGTCTAACTGGTGGGTTAAAGTTTTAAGGTTGACTAAACAATGAATATCTTAAATGAGCTCACATTCTGATTTCAAGTGCCTGTTTGATTTGAACCCGCAATCACATGATTGCTGGGCAATATCACTATCGATGCGCCAAAACTTGTGTACTTATTGTCTTAGGTTATCCAAAGAACGAAGATTTACAGGTTAGTGTGGGGCATGAAATGTGTTTTTCAAATGCATCAGGCGTCAGGTTGAGAGTACAGAGCTATATAGTGAATCGATTCATATAATTCTTACACACTTCCCCTGCTTTTATGAAAAGGTTAAAAAATTCACCTAGGGATCGTTTGAATTCGTAACTGCGGGTTGGAACAAAACTTGATCGTAGATATTTAGGTATAGATTGCACAATTTGCTACGACAAATTGTCTTCTTTACAAGTAATTTGAAAAAAAATATATCGTTCGCCTCACATTGCTTTGAGAAACGTTGTTTTGTTTCTTGTTTCATTTCTTACACAGAGTTGCTCAAATCTTTTACTTTATATCAGAGATGAGCAGATCTGAATCAGATCTGATCAAGAGTGCATCATTGTAAGCTTTTTTTGAAGAAGTCACAGCTTGATGTTTTTGCTAGAAGTCAAATCCTTTAGAGCGGTTGTTTTTGCATTTTTCTTTAAAAGCTGAAAAAAATTCATTTGATCTCAATATTTATTCTTCAGTTGTTTTAATTTAAAGTCACTAATAATTGTTACAATGGCTTACAGTATAGTGTTATGTACCCTGTTAACCGTTTTAGTAAATTTTTTATTTATGGTCCGACTGATATACTCTCAGACGGCAGAGCTCCCTGATATCTACGGGGACTACGAAAAATTGGGTTATTGTCTTGATATTATTAAATATTTTCAAATAGACTCTCAATTTCTCTATGGGGCAAAAGTAAGAAAACATAGTGTTTTTTCTTTAAAATAACTGTTTTCCTTGATGCTTTTACTTTTTATTACATAGAACAAGATCACATAGTCAGAACTGCTCTCAATGAAATTATCAATGTTTGGTGTCAAAAACTTTCATGAGGTCTGGAAACGTTTTTTTTTTGCCGCATGCACTACTTTTTTCGAAATGCTTGAAATTGTAAAAAACAACAGCTGTACTTGATACTTGATCATTTGCTCGTGCTCTATATAAACGTTTTGTTTGAATTCTCAATTAAAATTGTCCCATATCATCATTGAAAACATGCCGTTAGAAGTAAAAATCTGACGTTGCGCTAAACTTTGTTGTTATCTCCTAAATAAATCTGGACTGAATTAAATAAAGGTAAGGTATGGGACTGATCTGTTATGGTTATTCGACTGCTCAGGTGCTTTTATATTCCAGAGTAGAAAAAATTGACCTTCCAATCAAAGTTTGTTTTGTCATAATGCGATGAAGTCTGGCACGGTGAAAAGAAGCTAATTAAGACAAACAGATTTTTTATTCACACAGCACAATGTACCATCAAACATTTAGTCATATTAACGAGAAACAGTGAGAAAAAAAGTTCTAAATTTTAGTGGGTTTTGATAACATGTAAGACAACACGTAAACTTCCGGCTCAATAATCATAAGGAGAGTAGAAAACTCACTTTAAGTCTTCCTGCACTAAAAAAAAATTGAAAAGAAAAAATCGGTTTCAATATTAAAAATAAATAGAATAAACTGAAATCGACTGTAGTTTCAAAAAAAGAACGAAGTTTTGAAGATTAGGATGAACTTTGTTCTTTTTTATCTTGATGTAAAATGATTTAAATCTACCCTAAAAATGATCTCAAAAAATGAGCTCTATGTCAAAAATTGCCCAAAATTGGAAGATTGTTCTTTTAATTATTTGCAACTCGCTTTTTATTATCCTTTTTTTGTTCTTTCTTGCTAATTTTTTTGGCAGTATAAACAATTTTTACTTAAATCAATCTGTTTTGAATTTTAAAAATTAACCAAAAAAGATTTCTTCTGCACTTTACGGCCAAATGAAAAGTTATGCGGTTGAAATTTTCGAGAAAAGAATAAAATAATTGAAAAAAGAAACAATGAACTCCACACACTGCTTCAAAATGATGCGTTTAGCGTCTTGCATCCTCGATTCAATTAAGAACACATTATTAAGAACACGTTAGCGCCGCTCCAGCAAATCATAAGAACGCTTCATATTGCTTGTTCATTATCATGAATTAACCAAAATAGCATTTTTCAAACCACCATAACTTTGAAGTTCAGATCTGGACAGCAATTTTTCACTGATGTTAGTTTTGATCAAAAAAGTTTGAATAAAACTTCAAAAATTGAGTGAATACCAGAAACTAACTCAAGCATACTTGTTCCACTATGTCTTCGAAATTTGGAACGAGAAGAGTTGCTTTTTGTTCTTTCACACAATTTCATTCACGACAAGGCATGAATGAAAAATGAAATATTAGAACGCATGAACAAAAAAAATCATTTTCATAGTTTCGCGCACTTTTCCGGGCTGTTTCACAGTTTTCCGGCATCTTTTCTTCAGAAAGAGCAAAACTATACTCTTAAACAGTTAGACTCGCGCAAAAGAGCAGCCCTCGGCCACTTTGTGCCCTCAGGCTGGGCTCTTTTTCCCTCGTGAGTCTTTCAACTATATTCTAACTACTTCAAAGAGCTCTCTAGATTTGTTGTAATTGAGCCGAACTTGATTTCCTCCGCGCCATAAGTTGTATTTGACCGGAATAAAAAAAGATTCTCCGAACTGTGATATAAATTATAACGACAAAAATTTGTAATAAATAGGTCTTGAAGTCTGATAGGAACTGAAAAAACCATTGCGATACACCAACTCAACTGGAACGCCTACGCTCCTAAACATATTTTACGCTATAAATTGTTTTACATTAACGCGTAATTTCCCACCATTTGAAATTTTTAACATTACGGGGTCAAACTGTGCAGTTAATAGTTGGACAATCTCTTGTATGTATGGTGGTGGATTCCTGAAGTAAGTATTCGAACAGATTCATAAATTTAAGGGGATTACACTTACAAAACTTTCGTAGAGTCTGCGTGCAAATATCTGCAACGTAAAATTTTATCGGAACATTAGATTTGTCGCAGATTCCGCAAGGAGAGAAAAAAAACTAGTTGTTCCGGATTCCGAAAACGAAGGCAGAATACTGAAAATGTAAGCGGGTTCCACACAAATAGGTGGCGCGTAGTTTTTTTTGTTTGTTATACTGAACTAAACCAGTCCTTGCATAAGCAATTCGGAAAATTAGCTGAATCTATTATGTAGCAAATGCGTCTTTTAAAAGCAAGGGCCTAACTATTGTTAGTGGAAGGCAATAACAAATTTTTGGTCATTCTTCAATTAAAATTTTGGATAAGCTTTTTCAGTCTTGGAAAAAGTCGAAAATTATTGATAATGCGGCATTGATTGATAATTCAGAAAAAAAGTTTAAAAAGTTGCAGATTCCGATAAAAATCAGATTTTGACATGTTGCGGAATCCACCTACAATTTACAAAATGCACAATTGGGCCTCGTACTGAACAGAACAATTTTGGGAGAAATTTATTGCATCTTTGAACTCAATAGAAGCACTGAAAACTTTTGTTTCAATCGCCTAAATTTTTTCTGAATAAGAAAACTACACCAAGCATGAAAAATTTAGCCAAAAAGAAAAAAACAAAATAATAGAAGGAGCCAGAATTTTTAGTTTATCAATAGTGAAAGATATGTTTGAAAATATTCAAATTCAGAAGTGATACCCTATGTAGACTATTCAATCCAATATCTTCTTGGTCATAACGAATCCAACACGGCCAGAATAATCAGCAACTCGAACAGGTTTTGTATAATTGGTTTGCTTGGTTTCTTCTAACTTTTGAGCAGCAAAAAAACTATTCCGTTACTTTGTCTGACCTAATTAGAAAAAATAGTTTTTCCATAGTTTACATTTCTTTTAGTTTTTTTGCCAATAACGAATTTGCTACAGCTTTAATTGTTGCACCAAAACTCCCTCCGTATAATTTTTTTTGGTCTCAGTGGTTTTTCAAATTGTGAGAGTATTAGCAAAAGATTGTCCGCTTAGATTTAAAAGTTTAAAAGATGTTGATTTTGATTGAATCGTTCACTTCCGGTTTCTTTCAAATGGGGTTTCGAGTAACTTTCCAAATTTCCCCTCAAGTAACTGAAGTTATGATTTTCCAGAGTCATTATTTGTAGTATATCATTGTTTACTCTTCATGGTGAACCAAACATCCTTAAAATGTTAATTGTTCATTTGTTTCAGGCTGTTGACCGCAGTTGCGTCTGTGGTAGGAAAAGCAGTAGGAAAAACTGCCCTGAAGACAGTAGCTAAAACTGTTGCAAAAACTGCTGCAAAAACCGCTGCAAAAACTGCTGCAAAAACTGCTGCAAAAACCGCTGCAAAAACTGCTGCGAAAACTGCTGCAAAAACTGCTGCTAAAACTGCGGGAAAAGCAGCTATAAAGTCGGGTGCCAAAAAATTGTCGAAAACATTCGCCAAAAAAGGCGCTAAAGCTGCTGCCAAGAAAGCTTTCAAAATGGGGAGCAAAAAAATGAGCAAGACATTGTCTAAAAAAGGCATCAAGAAGTCACTGAAAAAACTGCCTAAAAAGGTAAGTTTAGATTAGAAAGCAAGTAAAAATCTGATAAAACATTTTTTGCAACTAAAAGTGAATATTAATCACCCATTTTTAGCTAATTATGTACAAATCCTTTTGTGCGCGCTGATTTTGGCATGCTCTCTCCCACCTAATAATGCAGAAAAATTTTTAAATTAAGTTACATGAAGGCTACCAATGTGACTATAAACCAATGTGCTACCAATGTGTTAATAAACCAAAAAAAACTAATTTAGAATAGATTTTCTTGCTTTTTGAATAATCGCTAAACAATATTCTTAAGGTGATTGTAATTACTTATTTTGCAAGTGTTCATACTCTGAGAATGCTATAACTGAGAAAAGTGAAAAAAAAATTTATTAGAATTGAGCTTTATTGTCTTTTTTCCATATATAAAAGATATAACTTTTCCATATATAAAATTAACCATATATAAAAGCTTTTCGAGTTTTATTGCTTTAATGCAAAAGTGAGAAACATTTATTTAAAAGTGATGATAATTGACTATATTCCCACTTTATAGGCAGTGACAATAAGTGTTGTACATATTCTTCCATAAGCCAGAATATAAAAGTGAGTAAGTTGAAGAAGATTCAGAGCAGGTGGTCGAGTGGTCTAGAAACTGCCTAGAAACTGACCAGACCGCTTCTTTGTAGATTCGAGTCCCCAAAAAACTAATGCTTTTTTTACCCAAATCAAAATGTAGACTCTTTTTCCTTTTCCCCCACACTGCAAATTTTTACATGTAAATTTGTTGACTACATTGTCCGATTGCTTTGAAAGTTTTCATACAGACTAATAAGGCCACGGCAAAGATATTTTGTCTTCATACTCAACCTCGTAAAACCACTCGTTACACTTATATATTGAAGCTCATGTGAGGTGGGGGGAAAAGGAAAAAGAGCCAAAATGTATATCTAACTGAAACTGATTTAAAAATAGAATAATGACCTTGTTTGTCAGGTTATTGCCGTGTTCTGGTGATTTACCGCGTATCGCAAAATGCTGCTAATGTAAACACGTTCTAGCCGTGACTTTGCCGACTTGTGCTTTTTTTCCAGTCTCCCTTTCAAAATACCGACTTTTTAACTTGTATGTTGAATGTGTGATGCTACGCTTTTAAGTCTTTCAGAACTGTCAATTTGTTACCACGCCAAATTTCATTGCATTTTTGACAACGTTACATTAGCTTTTAAAAGTTGAGTTTGAAAGGGGAAAAATTGGAAAGGAGCCCCGCTGTCGTTTCCAGAATTACTTGATAATATTGTTGTTGTTTTGGTACAAGTATGTTAGACTTTTGAGTTGAGCGGTAGGAAAAGGAATCAAATGTACTCTTTTTTTTATACATAGATTTCCAGTGCTGCTAGCTTTTTGGCCGCAATAAAATTACACTGTAAATTACGTTTGGTTACTTCATCTCAAGTAATTGACAATAATTCGTCCAGTCATTTGATTTGAATAATTTGTTTGAGCTGAATAATCTTTCTTTGAGATCAGATCTAAAAATCAAAAGAAAAATACTCAAACAAAACCGAGCAGTAGTTTTCGATTTTTAAATAAGCTTTTTTTCGAAAAGCTTTTCGTATTATTGGTATAAGAACAAAGGGAGTTTCACGAATGGAGGTATAGATTTCAAAATGCTTTAATACATACAGAAACGTATCACAAATATTAATGCATTTATCAATGCACTTAGTTACACAATAAAAATACGCGAGACTAACAAAAAAAATAAGCGAATTGATCTTTCAAATAACAAAAACGAATTTGCCACAAAATTGTGAACGGTTTTTAGTTTTGAAAAGTGAAAATGGTTTCAATGTTTTGATTTCTTGCATGATAAAAAAAATAAAATTTTCATCATTTTTTGAAAATTTGGTCAATTTTATAGAAAGTATCAATCAAAAACATTTCTTACATTCCGAAGTTTTTCAACCAGATATTTTTTATTCGAAAGTTAAATATTGAAAATTTATTAAAAATTTTTTTCTGATTTTTATGTACTCTGCCGTTATCTAATCTTCTATTGGCCACAATTATAAACAAGTTTAACAAAAATCTTCTTTTAAAAATGAAAGTTCTAAAAAGTTGAAAAAACGATAGAAATACAAAGTAATCATACCTAATTAATCAATAAAAACTTAGCCGAAATGAAATGTGCTGTCAATCAATATCTCTAAAATTATCAAAAGTTATCATAAGCTGGAAAAAACCATTAGTGTTCGAAACAACAAAGATTATTAAAGTGACAAGTTTACAAATTTTTTTGGTTAGGTTGGCGAGCAAGTAGAAGATCAACTAGATTGGGTGGACATAGCAATGCAGCTTCACGAAAAACTAACTGAAAATCCGCCAGCTTACGAGGGTGAACTGAAAACGCACAATCACAATGATGGTGATGACAAGGTAAAAGTCTAGAATAATTGAACAAGTAGGATGTCTTGATTCCATTAATTAGAAGGGGTTTCTGAAAACAGTGATCTTCAAGTCTTCGCAATTTTTTTGCCACATTCGTCTCAAAAATTAAAATGGGTTCAAAGAAGCAAAAAGTTATACTGAATTCTTTGCAAAAATTTGGCAATAAGTTTTTGAATTTTAGAGATTTTCAAAGAATTGATGCGTCCAATATTTCATTCTTGATTTTTTTTAGAGCCTAGTTATCATAGTTTTGGTCTCTCTGTTGTCTTGTTAAAGTTTGACTTTTCGTCAAAACTTTGCGTTGAACCGATAATTAATGAGGCAAAAACTGTCATCAAATGGATATAGCTCATCAATTGCTAGACAATTATCCTCAATTTTATTTTAATCAACTTTCTGTTAAACAAGTTGAAACACCGAATCAATTTGTTACAAAAGTATCACCTAGTTGTCTCTAATTTGATCCTTTGTTCACAAAACTTCCTCGGCATAGTTTCACCACATAAATTTCAACAAGGATTGTCAACATAAACTGTTCTAGTTTTTCCACGGCTCAAATTCGAGTTTTTCTACGACAAATTTAGTCTTTCTATGGTTCAAAACTCGGTGTATTCAAACAATATTGTTTTTCAGCAAATATTTGCGCCTTAAAACCGTAAAATTGAACTGAGACCATGATGCGAAATAGCACTTTTGTTTTTCATGAAGAGAACTGATATAGGTGAATGATCACCTGGGGGTAAGAATTTCGAGTTTTTCAAAAATTAAATGCTTGTATAATTGAGGTCCTATTAAATTTTTAAAAATTGTACAATCAACAAGAAGCTGCTCAAATTACCAATTTTACTATTTTTTTGTCCGTTGTATAAATAATACACACAAAAATTTTAATTTCATCTACAACAACACAAATAATTTTAATTTGTAAACATCAAAAACTAAGCATCAAGTTTGTCGCCAATTATGGGCGCCGCTAAACATTTTTAATTTCCAATAGCTGTTACTTGCCATAATCACTCAAAATGTGTTGAAAGCGACCAAAAAATTATACGGGAAACTCTTTTCTAAAAGTTTGTTTTCGTTCTTTTGTTAGATCAGATCATGTGTAATCCATGCGCTGTACCGAAATCCTAAACTGAAAGAAATTTTACACTGAATTTTAGGTAACTCAAGTCAAAACAGAAATATACCCACGGGTATTGGACGAAGTGCAAAATGTGTTCAAACACGAGCGAAACGTGACACATGAGAGAGTACTCTTCTATGGAAGAAAGCAGAGGGAAATGAAACGTTTGAGAAATTCCTCGCAGAATTAAGCGCTCTTGCGGGCAGGTGTGATTTTGCTAACGCGGCCGAAAATGTTCGTGATATTTTTATTATGAACATGCGGGAATCGGATTGTCAAAGAGAATTATCAAGATCAACAAAGTTACCAGAGGAAGTTTATAGGATCGCACTGTCGTATGAGCGGGGTGAACGTGCCTATAAATCCTACACTGGAAAACCGGCCTTGTCCGCGCCGCCGATAACCATCAAACAGGAGCCAGTTAATAATATCAGAAGGGGACAGTGGTAATTCAGAGATCGAGCACGCGGGGGACGCGGAGGATATACGCAAGGTTCAAGCAGTGGGAGCGGCGGAAATAACCGTAGGTGTTATAATTGTGACGCGCCGAACTTTACTCTCGATCATATTGCGAGTTGTCCTGCAAAGGGAGCAACATTTAATGTGTGTCGGAAATAGGGAAATTTTGAACGCACATGCAGGGGAATTAGAAGAAGTACTAACCAGTGGAGAGAACGAGGACGAGTCGGATTGGTGAGAGATGAAAATGAGCATCACCAGAGCATGCATAGTGTCGATAATGTGGCGGAAATTTAAGTGGCATGGATGAATCAGCAGGGAAGCGGTGAGAATGAATCCATAACGTCAGGATCCGATGACTACATGGTGATGTCAATCAAGAAAAAGAACATGACGGAACTGAAGATCCCTGGGGCCCGAGTCCAGGTTGAGGTGTCGGGAAAGAAGATGTGGCTGTGGGTGAATAGCGGATCTCCAGTGACGATTTTCAGCATGACGGACCTGAAAGCAACTTTAGGTAAAACTAATATTCAGTTACAACCATCTCAAGATGAATTCTTGGACTACAATAACAACCGAATACACATCCTTGGGAAGGTAGCGGTGACGACGGCAGTGAACGGCTGGGCAAGTGTCAGTAAAATCAGGAAGTCATCAGTCAATCCTTCGGCGCGATCTGATGGGTACCATAGGCCTGGAGTTAGTGCAAAGAAGGAAAGTGATGGGAATCACGGGGGAAGGTAGCAGTCAGGAAGAAAACGAATATGATGAATTACAAACATAATTCTGTAAGTTGTACCCAAATTTATTTAATTTATTTACCAGAATAGTAAAAAGTCCGAAACGCTAAAGTAAGAGCCGAATTCTTTAAAAATCTGAAGCCGATACAACAAAAAGGGCGTCGGGTGCCTATCAGTCTACAAGAAAAGGTAGACAAAAAAACTGATCGGTTGATAAAAGAAGGTCAAATCATCAAATTACAAGAATGTTCGGATAAGTACTTGGTCTCTCCTATAGTAATCACAGTAAACAAAAAGTTGGAAGTAAAAAATTGGCATTAGAATCAAAAGAATTGAACAAATAGGTACTCAAGAATAAGTACCAAACGCCAAATATTGACGAACTAGTAGACGAGATAAGTCAAATAATTGCAGAACGAAAAGCGAAGGATGTAAAATTTGCACCTTTGTATTTCACTTACGCGTACGGACAACTTTCCTTGGAACAAAAGACGAGCGAGCAATGCAATTTTTTACTGGTCGGCGGGAAATCGACGGGAACATATCGTTTTAGAAACGGTTTTTACGGGCTCACATCAATGCCGGCGGAGTTTCAAAAAGTCCTTGATAATTTACTTATGGAATTCCCTCAGGCAAATGCTTTAATCGATGAAATCCTAATTGCGTCCAAGGAAACTAAAGTAGAGCATATTGCATTAGTGGAAAAAGTGTTGAAGAAGTTGGACGTATCAAATGTTTCTTTGAAATTACGGAAATACCAGTTTGCAAAAACCGAATTTGCAAAAAACCGAGCCATTAGCCGGAAAACACAAGCGGTAGAAGTTTTGAAAACCCAAAATCTAGAGAGCAATTAAAATCGCTAATGGGTTCGATGCACAGTTTGCATAAATTTTTGCTAAAACTCGCTGAAATGAGCGCATCATTAAGACCATTACTCAGTCAGAATAACGATTTTGTCTGGACGCCGAATTGCGAGAACGCCTTTCAACAATTAAAATCGCTAGTGAAAAACTTGAGCATTTCGATATTCACCGTGAAACTAGGATAATTTGTGATGCTAGTCACGATGGCCTAGGGGCCGTGTTAGAAAAGTACAGCGCCTCCGGTTGGCTCCCAATTTCGTTTGCGTCACGGTATCCGGCCGCAAAAAAGTTTTCTACAAACAAGTTAGAATTACTCGCGGTAGTATGGGCTACTGAACTTTTTCGAAACTATATCTTATTTTACAGTTATATCAGATCACAAGGCGTTGCTTACACTATTATATTCTTCCCAAAAAAAGGAAAAAAAAAACATTTTTTAGCGGGTTAACTCCATGGTATGATCGCCTAGTACCTTATGATTTCAAAGTTAAACATAGACAGGGGTCAAAAATGGGAATGTCAGACTATTTGTGTCGGTTTCCATCTGCAGCGGCGCTCGAGACAACTTATTATTTGAAAGTTTTACAGTAGCGAAATTAAAAAACGATCAACGATGCATTGAAACCTAAGGATCAGTTAAAGCCTGGGGGTCAAAATGCGAATCAAATTAAGAAAAAACCGACGGTAGAGGGCAAACGGTCATGTTCCTTCTCAAAGAGAAAAGTTGTGTTCAATGAAACTAAAAGAAAAGCTGAATATGCAAATATTCACCGTGAGCACACGCGCTCACTAGAAGGCGTGGTTACATGCAACCGACGGTTAGCCAATCAGAATTTGGATACCCGCGGAATATGAGATATTTGCATACCGGCTGAAAAATGCAAATTCCGAAGCGAAAAAATCAGACGTTGTTCTCAGTACGTAAAATCAAGTTGTCATATTAAAGTAAAAATTACAAAAAAATGACATCGACAAATTCACCCGAGAAAAGCGATCCGAAATTTTCTTCCGCTTTTGTTATTACCTCCACTCATTCCAGAAATGTAAACCTCAATGTAGTTCTAAATCGATTAAACCAGCCGCTGAGTTTAAGTTCTGATTCTGATATCGCCAGATAAAGTTATTCCGAAACCGACTCATTCGAAAAAGTTAAACAGTGTTATTTCGTTTCCCCATCAGTTCCCAGGATTATCCAATCACCTTGTGCAAAGTGATAAAAGGATTTATTCAATAGTGCCTACTGATAGTCGAGTAGTTAAAAAAATTGATTACTCTGAGATTCTAAATTTGAAATTAGTCGAAGCCAACTTGGAAAAGACCCGATACTAAAGACGATCCACGACGCGATCCGAGATAAGGACCCACGGGCCAAGGACATCATTACCAGATTGGGGCAATTTTACGCTCAACATTACCACGATTTTGCTGTGCGCGAAAATTGCTCGTGGATGGATGGCCGGCTGGCCATACCGAAGGATATGTCTTCAGCAGTGTTAAACTGATTGCATCACAACCATCATGTGAGGGATAAAATGTTTGCGGCGGCGAAGAACGTCAGGATAACGCTGATGCATAGAAACCTTGCGGCCACAGCCAAATATTGTAAAAACTGCTTAGAAGCAGGTAAAAATCTTAAACCGGACATTCCAAAAAATGATATGGGGGACACTTATCTGCCCAGGGAACCCAAAGATTTGGTCCAATTAGATTTCTGGGGTCCGGTAAATTATGTACGGGCTCGGAAGTAATATGTTCTAGTAGCAGTAGATACATTTTCGCATCGGCCGTCGGCTTATGTCTGTTCCAGAAACAAGTCTAAAAATGTGTTAAATTTCCTAAGGAAGTACATAAATACACATGGGCAGCCAAGGAAATTACATATGGATCAGGCAATTGGGTTTTTCTCGAATGAAATACAAAACTTCTGTTATCATGAGGGCATTCAACTTATAAAATTTCCGGTTAAGGAGCAGCGTGCTACGGGGATGGTCGAACGGACAATTGGCTCGATAAAAAACTACATGCTAACATATCTCCAGGAGAATAAAAACTATAAATTTGGATTTGTGATATCCCGTGCGCTGAGCGCGTTACGATTTGTGCTGCATTCTAAGACTAAGCTAACGCAATTTGAGGCCTATCATTGTAGAGAAGCAAATACGACCCTTCGAAAATTGACGAAAAAGTCATCATTGAAAAATCTAAATTTGAAAATGTCATTAACCAAAAATTATCTTGTTTAGACAAGGTGAGTGGTCTACCTGATGTGGAATTAAATCTCAATTGGGAGAAACGGAGCGATCTCGTGTACGCCCCGGAAAACCGTAAAACCCCAAGGGTTTTGGATGAGCATGACCTGATCGAGACAGACGTGGGACCGAAGGCCACAGCGGTGGTGGATCCCAAGGCATCACAAGAGTTGCCTAAGGCACCAGAGTGGTTAAAGCGACACAAAACCAGTACCACGACGGTAAATCAGAGGAGCGGGAAAGCGGATCCACAGGACCCATGAAGGTATAAACGTTTACCATTAAAAAATGAAAAATTAACAAAGCACACGGTGGAAATGGGAAAAGGGTCGTTACTAAGGCGAAGTGGTGTTTCATTTAGATCGGCGGCTGAAGAAAGCCGAATTGAGAAGGGGACGGACGCGAACCCCCCGAGTCCAAACAAGCCCACGAAGGATAAAAGGAAAGCGGTAAAGGACCAATTAGAAATGGAACAAGCGCCAAAATTGAAAAGAAAACGAATAGTCGAGCAAAGCGAAGACTAAGATAGGCAACGAGCGCGAAAAACGAAGAAAAATCGAATAGTCGAGTACAGCGACGACTAAGATATGGAACGAGCGCGAAAAACGAAGAAAAGTCGAGTACAGCGAGGACAAAAGCGACGAAGACGAAGATAGCGAATGGGCAGTCATGGGGCGCACGGACGAAGCGGCGAAAACTGCAGCGAGCGGAGAGAACGACTCGTCAGGAACGGATAGAGAACAGACACCGAAAACCGTCGGTAAAAAGAGGAAGCAGGGCGAGGAGGCAACGCGCAGATCGGCGCGACAACGGAGAGGAGCCGATAAAGTGGGTGGGGTGATGATTCACCGGATCGAACACAATTGAGAGATAAAGAAA